ACCCGCCGGGAGCTGCCGAGAAGGGAGAGATGGCTCCCGGGACACGTGTGAGGTGGGTTCGTGCGGCTCCTCACCCCCAAACCTGGGCAGCTCCCACTCCCATTCATCCTCAGCCCGGCCTCTGCCTCCCCCGCCCCCAGCCTCACCCTCTCTGCTCCCAACTCCTCATCTCCCGTCCTTCATCCTGTTCCCTCTCAGCCCTGGGGAGCTGGCCTTCCTTCCTCGATCCTGCTTCCCCTCGCAGACCCCCATCCCCGCCTGCAGTTGCCGCCCTCTAGGCCCCTCCCCTGAGCGCTGGAGGGCCCCTTCCCCACCCCCATAGATGGGTCTGCAAGTCCCTGGAAGGGGGAGCTGGGGTAAGACGGGGCCGTGAAGAGACCCTCCAGGCCTGCGGGGACCTATCTGGGAGGATTCGGTTTCCATGGGAAGGACGGCCCAAGGGACTCTGGACAATTAGGGGGGAAGCAGCCTGGGAAGCGGGTTGGGGACACATGGAGGAGCCCATCCTGTGTGTGTGAAGGTGTCAGGCTGGGTCCTAGGGTCCCAGGGGATCTAGGAGTTGCCCAGGTTGACCTGAGAAATACAAAAGGAGGCGTCTCCGAGCAGAGGACTCTGGGGAGCTGAGGAAGGGAGGTCTTGGGGGAAGGAGGGTCTCAGCCTGGAAGTTGGGCAGCAGAGTGGATCTTTAGGGATGGGGGCAAGGATCCCACTGGGTCTGGTTCGGGGAAGAGAAATCGGGTGGCATTGTGTATGAGAGAGGAGGGAGAAAGAAAGGCCTGGCGCTCCCACCTAGGAGCCTGGGTGTCTTGGCGGAAAATCGGGAGGATTTAGGTTGGGAGGGCACGGGTACAGTGCCTGTGGGGAGCGGGAGAAGTTGGGGCCTCCTAATGGGACTCCACAGACAAGGAGCCCTGTTTCCCACGGAGCTTGGATGTGGGGATGTCAGTGGAGGGGCCGCTTCCCATCATCCTCCTTGGGCGCGTCAGGGAGGCCTGAGGAAGTATTGAGGAGCCAGTGCTGGGCTCCAGAGGAGCCAGGTGGCTGCTTGGGAGAGCTAGGCTGCAGAGAGGGGTCCCCCTACGCCCTGCAGGAGGGGTGACCTCCATGTTCCTTGGCTCCTTGGGTAGGAGGGTGAGTTCTGCTGCCTAGAAATGGAGGGAGCTGTGGGGAGTTTCAGGGCTCCAGTGGGCCCACCTGACCCTGTCGCCATTCACCCACAGCCCTCGGCGTTGCTGACGCCCCCAATGTCGTCGAGCAGCCGGGGGCCGGGGGCCGGAGCGCGCCGACGCCGAACCCGCTGCCGCCGCTGCCGGGCCTGTGTGCGAACTGAGTGCGGGGACTGCCACTTCTGCCGAGACATGAAGAAGTTCGGGGGGCCCGGGCGTATGAAGCAGTCGTGCCTGCTCCGGCAGTGCACTGCCGTGAGTTCTGCCCTTCCACCCCCACCCCCTTTGGGGCTCTGGGCGCCCTTCCCCAGCTGGCCTAAGTGCCTTTCTGGGGTGGCTGGTAACTCCTTCCTAGGGTTTACTGTAGGGTTGGTTTGTTCACTCATTCATTCACTGGTTTGTTCAGATGTCCATCGGGCCCATTTCCCCCCCCCTCAGCTCCAAGCTGAGGGCGATGTTAGGGCACAGAGGAATCTAACCCAGTCTCTACCGTCATACTTTCCCCAACTTTCAGAGGCACAGACCCATAGAAAACCTGGCCCCTCGCATCCCACTCCTTAGAGCTGCGGTTCTCAACCGGTGGGTTGCGACCCCTTTGGGGGTCGAACGCCCCTTTCACAGGGGTCGCCTAAGACCATCGGAAAACACATATATAATTACATATTGTTTTTGTGATTAATCACTATGCTTTGATTATATTCAATTTGTAATAATGAAGTTGGGGGTCACCACAACATGAGGAACTATATTAAAGGGTTGCAGCATTAGGAAGGTGGAGAACCACTGCCTTAGAGGTATCTGTGAATAGGTCTTACTTAGCCTTCTTTGGCCTCTTCCTCACCTGCCAGAGTGGATTTGAGGCTGAGCTTACCCTTTGTGTGACCTTGAGCAAATCACTGAATCTCAAAGGTACTGTCTCTGCAAAATGTTTCTTTTGCTGAGTTATAAACAATAGCACAGATATGCAAGTGCCTGCTACCAGGCCCAGCGCACAGTAGGTTTCTGAGGAACATAGGTTTCTTCTCAGCTGTCCGCGTCCTTTGAGCTTCCCAGGGCTCCGGAGAGCGGCCCTTCCCCTGCAGCCATGAGCCTCCAGTAGCATCCTGTGCCCCCTCCCCACACCATCACTTCCTTTTTCCCCTCCAGCGACTCTTTACTGCTTGGTCTCTTCACCCACAGCCCCTCTCTTCTCTTTGTCCCCCAGCCCTTGCCCACTTTCCTGTTCCTTCTTCCCCCTACCTGCTTCTTCCTTGAGCCTATTTCACAACCTTTTTCCCTGATATGACTCAGTATTACCACTGTCCTCCCCAAAGTCATGTTATCTGAAGGCTGCTCTCTTTTCCTTAAGACCAGCCTTTAGTGTTCCTAGGAGCCTTGCCCAAACCCGGTTCATTGTGAGCTCCAGAGCAACGCTTAGGCTGCCCTCTGAGCACACTCAGAATCTTCCCAGGCTGCTGTCGCCTCCCCTCCAGCCCTCTCTGAGTATTAGTGTCATATTTGCGTATGGTCTCCCTTCCTCACAAAGCCAGCAACAATTCCAGGGTCATACAGGCCCGGATCTAGCTGAACATTCACAACAGAGAACAAACTATGTAACAAATGGCCATCTTGCATTATCTCATTCTTAAAGAGTTCTGCACAGGAAAAATTCCTAGCCCCATTTTACAAATGGAGAAACAGGAATGAGATTAAATCAGTTGCTCAAGGTCATACTGCCAAAAAAGAAGAAATAATTCGAGATCTGATCCAGCTTGGCCTTAGGTTCTAAACCTCCTCCAGCAGCCGGCAAGGTTCCCAGAAAGAAGGGTCTTTCCCCTGTTGCTTGCTTTCGGGTCCCTGATGCCCCCTCTCCCCCAACAGCCCGTGCTCCCACACACAGCCGTGTGCCTCTTGTGTGGGGAGGCTGGGAAGGAGGACACAGTGGAGGGAGAGGAAGAAAAATTTGGTTTGAGCCTCATGGAGTGTACAATCTGCAACGAGATCGTCCACCCTGGCTGCCTGAAGGTGATGGCCCCGGGGAACCTGGAGTCGGGGATGGGCAAATTGTCAGGGAGCAAGGAGGTTGGGAACTCTGCCTCTGACTTCACTGATACCCTATCCATTCCCTGCCTCTGCCCACAGATGGGGAAGGCTGAGGGTGTCATCAATGCGGAAATTCCTAACTGCTGGGAGTGCCCTCGCTGTACCCAGGAAGGCCGGACCAGCAAGGTAGGGGCAGGACTGGGCTGGGTGCTGGGCTCCCAGTGGGCTGGGGAGCTGTGCAGAATCTCACCCCCAGCATTCACCTCCTCAGGATTCAGGTGAGGGACCAGGCCGCCGAAGGACTGACAACGGAGAGGAGGGTGCCAGCCTGGGGAGTGGATGGAAGCTGACGGAGGAGCCGCCACTTCCACCACCTCCACCCAGGCGCAAGGGCCCCCTGCCCGCTGGGCCCCCCCCAGAGGACGTGCCTGGGCCCCCCAAAAGAAAGGAGAGGGAGTCAGGGAATGAGCCCCCAACCCCAAAGAAAAAGGTGAGCCAGGGAGCATGCTCACTACATTCAGCCCAAGGGAATCTGGGAGTGGTAGTCCTGATCCTTTTTGGGGAGGGTGGGCCCTCCCTGGGTTCCCTCAGGGATTGTTGGGAGATGTAATTCAGGAGGTGCTGGGGGGAGGATGGGGCACACTCAGTGTAGAGAAGAGGTACAGGTGAGAGGGCAGCGGGCACTGGGCAGTGAAGCTTTGGGAGCCCCGGGTACTTTAGGGATTAGGGAAAGAGCATACTCAAAGCTGCTACAGAGGAAGAAGGAGGGGCTAGAAAGGGCCCGAGGGGGAAGAAAGAAGAGATGAGAGCATACTCACTGAGCCAAGACATTGGTTAGAAGGTGAGCATGCTCAGAGTTCTCCTTGAGGTGGGGGCTTCTGGGAATTGTAGTCCAAGAGGAGGCCATGGATCTTAGTTTTGTGGACAATGAGGGGCTAAGGGTCTCTTCCTTTCCCTATGTCTCCCTCTTTCCCTGGTAGGTGAAAGGAGGCCGTGAGAGGCACCTGAAGAAGGTGGGTGGAGACGCCTGCCTCCTCCGAGGATCGGACCCAGGCGGCCCAGGCCTTCTGCCCCCCAGGGTTCTGAATCCAAGCCAAGCTTTCTCGTCCTGCCACCCTGGGCTCCCTCCCGAACACTGGGAGGTGTGCCGGGGACCTCCTCCCTCCCTCTCCCATCTTTCCTTGCCCCACCCTCCACCCTGGAGACAGATCTGTGCTTTCCTGCTCACCTTGTCCTACCCCTGCCCCACTTGGCCACGATGGGCATCTGGACCCTGGAAGAATGGAGGGGGAGAGTGGGTTGGGGCCAGGGCCACAGGAGCCCCTGACTTTCCAAGAACCCTCAGGGTATTATCTGACCGTTTTGCACCATCTTTCTAAACCTTAAAGGGGAAAGAACTGAGTCCAAATCTCTGCCTGCTGACTCCTTGTGTGGTCTTGGCAATTTGTCAGCTGCTCTGAGCCTCAGTTTTCTCATTTGGGAAATCTACCTTCCTTATCTGCCTATCGCACTGTTTAAATCTCCTGAAAGTAAATGGACTTTGTAAATTATAAAACTTACCTAGATTCGAGGAAAATGAGGTCCAGAGAGGTTAAAAGACTGGTCTAAGGTCATACAGCAAAGCCCGGAATCAGATGTCACTTTGCATGGACACACTAAACCTGCCTGATTGCATTCAAATCCTGCCTCTGCCATTTGTCACTTTGGCGCTTAATCTCTCCGAGCCTATCTGCCTCATGTCTAAAAAGAGTGACCCAGGTTGCCACTCCATTCAAGCTCTGTGAGGATGTGCCGAGTCAGCCAGTGGGATGCTCTGCCTGGGCCAGGTGATCTTTGTTATTCTCACATCCCTGACTGGACACTTGGAATTGTCTAGTCCAACGCCCCATGTTGTAGATGGTGAGACAGGGGCTTCCCAAGGTCACACAGAGTTGATGGCCAAGCCAATACTCAAATCTGGGCTATGTTTTCATAGCATGCTGCTTGTGGAAATTCATGAGCTACTGGAACCCATAAGGTGTTTAATTCTTTGAATCAGTGCCTTCACGTGACATAAGGATGTGAAGTTCAGGCATGGCTTGGCTAATGCCTCACATTGCTCAGAGCCAGGGCTGGGTCAGGACTCTCCCTTGGACTGTTCATCCCCTGGTGACTCCTCAAGGGCAGGGGGGTGGGAGAGTGTGTGTCGGACCCTAGAGCCGTCTCCTATCTTTCTGCAGAAACCAAAGCCACCTTTGGCCTCTGCCGAGGGCCCAGCGGTGCCATCCCCATCACCACAGAGGGAGAAGTTAGAGCGTTTCAAGCGGATGTGCCAGCTGCTAGAGCGGGTGCCTGACACCTCCTCGTCCTCCTCGGACTCAGACTCAGACTCCGACTCATCGGGCACATCCCTGAGTGAGGATGAGGCCCCTGGCGAGGCCCGAAATGGGCGACGGCCAGCCAGGGGCAGCTCAGGCGAGAAGGAGAACCGCGGGGGGCGACGGGCTGTACGCCCTGGCAGTGGGGGGCCCCTCCTCAGTTGGCCTTTGGGCCCTGCCCCACCACCCCGGCCCCCACAGCTGGAGCGTCATGTGGTACGGCCCCCACCTCGAAGTCCTGAGCCCGACACACTGCCTTTGGCTGCTGGATCCGACCACCCTCTGCCCCGTGCTGCCTGGCTTCGTGTCTTCCAGCACCTTGGGCCCCGAGAGCTGTGCATTTGCATGCGAGTCTGCCGGACTTGGAGCCGCTGGTGAGTGGCCTGCACAGGCCTAGGTTCTATTGCTGACACCCTCCTCACTTTCTGGGTGACTTGTCACCTGTTCCTTATCCTTCCTCCCTGGTCACTGCTACTTCTGTAGTGTGTGCACACGACAGCACGATACTTCTGCATTTACTGTGCATGGGCTGCTTTCTGTTTTTGAGCTCATTTAATCCTCATAACGACTCTGTGAGGTAGGTACTATTACTCCCTCTTACAGACGAAGCTGAGGTCAAGATCATGTGGACAGGAAGCAATAGAACCAGGAATTTGAACCCAGCCCCTCTCTGCTGGGTTCCCGAATCTTTCCTCTTAACAATATCATTTTTGAGTGTTTAGTATATACCAAGCATAGTGCTGACTGTTGTATATGATCATCTCATTTGCTTTTCACACTTCCTCTTCTGAGGACAATCGTACCTGCTTCATTTACACATGAGAAAACTCTTGTCTGCGCCGGCCCCTGCCCTGTCACAGGCAGCCATACTTGGGCCTCCTGACCCCGAGTAACGCCTTCATGCCCCAGAGCCACCACCAGCTCCCTCTGCCCGTCCTCCCCCACCTCCCCACTGCTTCCTGAACCTTGTTTACTCAGAAATCTCCCTCAGCTTCCAAACCGCTGGTCTTCCTCCCCCCAGTCAAACTCTCGGAACACTCTGTTCCCCTCACAGCTCATGGAGGGGATGAGCCTTCATTCATTTGTTCATTTTCATGTTCTAATCAGTTTCTGGGGTGGTGCAGATACTGCGTCTGTTTTATCTTCATGTTCCCAGCACGAGACAAAGGGCAGTATAGATGCCCAAGAAATATTTTATTACGTGAGAAAATTCAGGCTCTTTCTCAAGCACTTACTGTGGATTAGACATCCTGTTGGCCACTTTGCAAATGTTAGCTGATTTTCCTCATGATAGCAGCCCTGTGAGGGAAGGAGGGACTCCTGAAGTCACAGTACAAGTTAGTGCTGAACTCAAACTCTGATGCTTTTCCTGTGGGTTCTGGGTGCTAGTTCATGCCTACTGGCGTCTGGAGGTCAGTGCCTGTGGTTCAGTCTGACTCTTCCTCTCAGGAGCTGTCTGCCGTTGGGCCAATTTCTTAACTGCTTGTGGCCTCCTTTTCTTCATCTGTTAAACCAGGAGGACCAGAACATTTACTTCAGAGTTGTTGGCGTGGTGTTTTTAATTTAACTTATTGTGTTGACGTTGATTAGTAAGATTCTGTACTGCATTGTCTGTGTACCTCATAGTGTTTTTGTAGCTGAGGGCAGTGCCTGGGAAAAAGAAACTACTTGATGCCTTAACCATAATCATTACTATTCACTCAGTTACAAGTCATTACTGAAAGCTCAGACTTTCACATCCTCAGAACATAGCTCCACGTCAGCCTGCAACATGGAAGCAAATAGTGAGAGCAGGTGCTGGAGATGACCACCCGGCCTCATGTGATAGTTGGGGAAGTGTTTGCTGAGGCCTCTTCATCAGGGCCAGCTCTGTGCTCGGTACATGGGATTCAGAACTGAAGGGGACTTGATTTCGGCCTCAAGGAGATACGTGTGACCAGAGGTAGAGAGAGGCTGGACTGCACAGTGGTTTCCAGCTTGGGCCCTGGAGTTTGGTCCTTACGTGTTTCATCAGCTGTGACTCCGGCACTTCCTGGATGTATGGCCGTGGGTGGATAGTTCTACCTATCAAGGCCTCGGTGTTCTCATCCACTATCTGGAGTTCAAATTAATACTTTGTAGGGATTAAATGAGATGGTTCTTGCAAAGTACTTAGCATCGTTCCTGGAGGGTACTAAATACTCAATAAAATGGTGGTTTTCCATAAGAGGCGAAGGGTAGGGCAGAGCAGGGACCCACGGGGCACAATGGGAACACTCAGAAGGCTCTCTAAGGCCTGTGAGCAGAAGCAGGGGCAGGGAATGGAGAGAAGTGACTCAGGTTGAGAACTTTTTTAAGAAGCAGAAGAGCCCTGGCTGGTTTTGTTCAGTGGATAGAGCGTGGGCCTGCAAACTGAAGGGTCCCAGGTTCGATTCTGGCCAAGGGGATTGCAGGTTCGATCCCCAGTAGGGGACGGGCAGGAGGCAGCCAATCAGTGATTCTCTCTCATCATTGATATTTCTATCTCTCTTCCCTCTCCCTTCCTCTCTGAAATCAATAAAGATATATTTAAAAAAAACAAAAACAGAAGAGCTTGGATTTGGTGACTAAGTGGCTATGGGGCCGCAGGGTGACTCAAGTGAGTTTCTGGGCCACAAGCCTGGGTGGGCAGCAGTGCCGGTCCTCACGTTGGGGAATACCAAAGGAAGAGAAGCAAGTTGTAGGGGAAAGGGAAGCACACAGATTTGACATGTGTGGTTTGGAAGGTTTGTGGGCCAGTCGGAGCTAGCAGGGAAACAGCTGGATGTACAAGTCTGAGGCTCAAGAGAAAGGTCCAAGTTTAGAAACTAGGGACACAGCAGTGAACAAACAGGCAGGAGAGCAGGCAGTTGCAGGTTGTCCTGTCTGGTGGCTTCTGTCTTCTCTTGGAACTAGAAGGTGAAGTGATTTACCAAGAGAAAGATCCAAGTTTGGGAGTTTTTAATCTATAGATATCAGCTTCCAGGAAGAAAGCAGAAGACAGAATGTCAGTATTTGTGAGTTAGAGAAAGAGCAGCCAGAGACTTGGAGGAAATCAAGGGCGGAGCTGTGCTCTAAGGGAGGGAGATGGAGGAAGGAGTGAGTGGTGAATAGTGTTGCATGTTGGCAAACGGAGATCAAGGACCAGAGTGGCGGTTGCGTTTTGCTACAAGGAGGCCTTGGTATCCTTGGCTGTGCTACAGGGGGGTGGGGAGACCGAAGGCAGGTCACATAGGGTCAGGGACATCAGCTTCTAGGCCAGGACTTAATGGCTTGCTGCTGTACCTGGTTTCTAAAATGGTACCTGGCATACCGTCGGTACTAAGAAAATATTTGTTGAATGAATGAAAGACAGTGAGAAAATCAGGATGGAGTGTAGAAAGAGGTAGTGAGAGAAATTTGTAGGTGGGGAGCAGGAAGTTGCAGGCTTTCCTCTCTGGTGACTTCTATCTTTTCTTGAAACTGGGAGGCGAAGTGACCTGTCAAGACGGAGGGGAAGCCCTGGCAGGGTAGCTCAGTTGGTTAGAGTTGTCCTGATATGCCAAGGTTTTGGGTTCGATCCCTGACCAGGGCACATACAGGAAGCAGCCAATGAATGCATAAATAAGTGGAACAATAAATTGATCTCTCAAATCAATTTTTTAAAAAGGAGGGGAGAGAAGGCAGGCAGAAGTGTCGAAGTTGTTGAGTTGCAGGGAAGAGGGGTGGGACTTTGGGGGACATGGGCAGAGAGAGTGGCAAAGAAGGGACTGGAACACAGGGTCAAGGCCAGCTGGGGTTGGAAGTAGAGGCTTAGAAATGACAGATTGGAGGACAATGGAAGCATCTGGGAACCGAGAGCTGAGAGGGAAGAACTGGCTTTGACTGGAGACCAGGAGGCTGTTGAGCTCCTTCCAGGTGGCCGTTTGGGCTGCTCCATCTCTGTGTCCCCAAAAGGGAGGTTTAGGACTGCATTTTAGGATTTTTGAGGTGGGCTTAGTAGGGGATGACTTAGGGCGGTGATGGCGAACCTTTTGAGCTCGGTGTGTCAGCATTTTGAAAAACCCTAACTTAACGCTGGTGCCGTGTCACATATAGAAATTTTTTGATATTTGCAACCATAGTAAAACAAAGACTTATATTTTTGATATTTATTTTATATATTTAAATGCCATTTAACAAAGAAAAATCAACCAAAAAAATGAGTTCGCATGTCACCTCTGACACGCGTGTCATAGGTTCGCCATCACTGACTTAGGGGGTAGCTGGAGTTAAGGGTAAAGTGAATGGTTTAGAGAACTTGACATCAAGCCCTGACCCCCCTGGATGATGGCATGCTTCAGTCCCTGAGCAGTTCTTCCTGCTTTTTGCCTTAGTGTTATTCCCCAGCTTAGAAAGCACCCATCCATGGCTCCCTGTTGCCCTCACAACGAGCTCCCACAGTCAGATTGGACATGAACAGTGCCCCAGTGGCTGCAGTAAACACTTCCCCTGTACTCTCTCTCTTTGTCTTTGCAGCAAACCTTTGAATTAAGTGTTGCATTTAATTCCTTTTATAGTTTGGAGAATGGCCCAGAGGGCAAGTGACTTGTCTAAGGTCACACAGAGCACAGAGGTGGCAGAGCTGGGATTTAGTACCCATGCCCTTCACCTCTGAGCTGTGTGGCCACAGCAATTCAGCCTGGCATTCTAGTCCTTCTTTTTTAAAAAAAATGGGTTTTTTATTCTATTTATTTATTTACTTATTTATATCCTCACCCAAAGATATTTTTAAAATTGATTTTAAAGATAGAGGAAGAGGGGAGAGAGAGAGAGAGAGAGAGAGAGAGAGAGAGAGAGAGAGGACATTGATTGGCTGCCTCCCACATGCACCCTAACCGGGAGAGAGAGAGAGAGAGAGAGAGAGAGAGAGAACGAACGAACATACATTGATTGGCTGCCTCCCACATGCACCCTGACCGGGGCCCAAACCCTCAACCCTTTGGTGCATGGGACAACACTCCAACCAACGGAGCAACACTGGCCAGGGCCATTCTAGTCCCTCTTGACATGTCACCCCTACCCTAGGCCTCCTCTGTAGCCTCAACCTCTGCCTCTTCCCCACTCACCAGAGTTCAGGCTCCCGATCCAGACCCTGACTCTGCTACCATTTAGTAGCTGTGATACCTTGAACAAGTTTCTTAACCTCTCTGAGCCTCATTTCTCTTTACTCTAAAAAGGAGATGGTAATAGTATTTACCTGCTAGAGCTATTGTGAGGTTAAATGTTTAATACATACAACAGTACCTGGCACATAGTAAACCCTTGATAAATAGTAGTTATTAGTGCTATAGTCGTCATCATCATCATCATTCTTATTATTAGGAGATGATGAATTGTCCTTTGTTCATGCTGCCTGACTTCTCGGAGCTCTCTGTGTTCTCTCTGTATCCTGGACCTGGGTACTAGTTCTTCCCCGTCTGGAATGTACACTGGCTTCCTACCCACTCCTCGCTGGAGCAGTGACTGCTGTCCTTCAAATCTCATCAGGCATTGTCTCCCTGGGCGGTCCCTGTCTCAGCCTTCTCATTGACTCTTATCATGTTCTTTGTTGCTTCAGTTTCTGTGGACTGGCTGTGTCTCCCCCACTTCCTGACTGCCTTGTGCCCAGTGGAGGCTGGACACTAAGTATCAGTAGGGCCCTCAGTGACTGTTGGCTGCTGCTCTGAGGTCCAAATCCAGTTTCCTGGTCATGCAAGAGCAAAGGGATCCATTAGCTCCAGGACAAGAAAAGTCAGGGGAGACTTCCTGGAAGAGGAGGCACTGGCGCTGAGCCTTTAAGGATCTGGGTTGGTTGGCATTTCCAGCACAACATATGTGCCAAAATGTGTTGGCACCAGACAGCCTTGTGTGTCTGTAGGCTGTGGTTTGGCCTGGCTCTTGTAGAGTACGATACAGAACAACTGGGAGCCTATGTGTACCTCCAGGGGGAAGGGGTTCCTTTCTAGCCATGGAAGATCCAGGAGGAGCTTCAAGGTGATGGTCGCACTTGAGCTGGGACTCGATTGGGTCAGAGTGGGTAGAGAGAGGTTTTGAATGGAATAAGATTTTGCTGAGTAGAGAGAAAGGGCAGGACCTAAGGACAGAAGTTGTGTTGAGGGTGGGGTTTTTGTTTTGTTCTTTTCCTTTTTAGAATTGGAGAGATTTGCAAATGTTAGTGGTTGAGTGGATGGAACCAGGAGTGGGAGAGGCTAGAATGCCAGAAGAGGGAGGAGTGGTAGGAGGTGACCGGGCAGGGAGGTGGAGTTGTTGGGATTGAAGCCTTAAGGTCTGGGCCTCCAGCCTTCCCTAAAATGTCACCCAGGGGCTCCGAGGTATGCCTGGCAGTTTTAAGTAGCACAAAAAGGCTTAATTCTTTTATTAATTTTGAAAAGGAGGTCTCTCCATTGTGTGCTGTTGCATCTTTAATACCTTTCTTATACTCATCTCCCTGTTTAACACAAAGTCTTTAGGTGGTAGCCCAAAGCTACATCGACACCTGTCTAGAAT